TTACAGGAAAAACCTGTGGTTCTCCAAAGGTGAAACGGTAAAGCGAACTCATGGCACGCATATGCAACACGGCACATACTCCGGACGGCTCCGGACAGCCTGTAACCTGGTTCTTCTATAAATAAGCAAATAAATCTTTAAAAAAAAATTTTTTCATGATGAAATTTTTCAGCAAACTAGAAATAACAAGCCACTTCTTCCATTTGAAACTGACTGTCTATGAAAAACCTACAGCTGACATAATACTTTATGGTGAAACATAAGTGTAGCGGCAGGAATGGGCACAGTGCAGGTTTTCTATGATTCCAGCAGACAGGTGAAGGAGAAATCCTGGAGCCCTCAGTGGCTTTTCAGGCTTTTATTGGGACTTACCAGGTAGATGGCAGGCAGGCAGGGGTGCTGGGGGACCGGGAGGCTGGCAGGTCTCCCAACCCCCAGGAAGTCCTCACTCTTTCTTGGCTTTCCAATGTTCTCTCCTGGCAGTTCTCTTTCTTTCGCTCTGCTCTTCCATTCTTTCTGCTCTCTACTCTACTGGCATCTCTGTGACACCGCCCTTATAAGCCCAGTCTCTTAGCCCAGGTGTACCTACTTATGCATGCCCACACCCTGCTCCAGGTGCCCACCATCAGGCATACATTCAGGACCACAGGGATCCATCATCAATCCTAATGGCAGGAGGACAGAAAAATCTTGAAAATCACTTACCCTGCAATAAGGAACAAAACAGGGATGTTACCTCTCAGTCTAGTACACATGAGACTGGAGATCTTCCATGGTGCATTTTACACCAGGTTTACTATGGATTCAGGCAGACGGAATTCTGGAGCCCTCAGTGGCTTTTTCAGATTTTAATGTCTCTCAGGGAACCAGGTACACAGGCACACCAGGCAGGGAGGCCTAATGTGAGGAGGCAGGCATGGGCCTGGCGGGGGGCTGGGAGACAGGCAGGCAACTGAGCCTCCCAGGCCCCAGGATTCTTTAAGCTCTTACTCTGATGTTCTCTCTCTCCAGGCCACAGAGGTTAGTGGTATAAAAAGCCTGATTCATTCATTTACCCTATGTGCATTATGAAAGAAAATGAAATAAAAGGTGCGGCAGGCTGCACCTCCCATGCTGTCTCTTGACAAGGTCCGGGCATCGGGGGATACTCCTGAGAAGCGGGGAGTTCCTGTGCTTCCCCGAAGAGGGAAAGTTGTACTTCCCAGAAGAAGGAAGTTCTTGTACTTCCCAAAGAAGATCTGAACTAGGGAGTCTCCATGGTAACGCCTGCTAAAGCTCTCCTCTTTGTTCTTGGTTAATGCTGAAGTAAGTTAGTTATAAATTGGCCTGTGAAAACCTAATTCGGACCCAGATGATAATTGGCTTACTGTTCTTACTCATGAACTATCAAAAAGAAGTAAAAATTGTTTAAGGCATAGTTAGGAAAGAAATGTTTTGACCCTGAGAACTATGGAGAACAAGCTGCCCTGAACCAGCTGTGCTTGGAAACCATAGCCTAACCTGGGGGGTACGTGTTTGTGGCAACAGTACATTCCCTGGTGTATGCAAGAGGTCAATAGTTCGCAAGCCGTGTGGAGGTCAGGAATTTCTAGTTAAGAGTTAGACTTCAGTAGAACTTACGTAGATTTGAGGAACTGTTGTAGACCACCTTGAAGTAATATATTAATCAAGATAACAGTGCTAGGAAATAGATTGATTTTAGTAATTGAATATAGAATAGGAATTTTACACCCACTTTTGTAATTGGGAAAGTTAATTATTGCCAAATGTTGTGCTGTCTTGTATGACTGATCATGCTAGTAAACGAGCTGTACCTAGGAAACTAATTGTTCTTAGGTTACCAAAGAAATGGCCTACAGGTGTAAGGCCAAGGGAGTCTTCACATGATTATGAGAAAATATGTATTGTCTTTGCTCTGCTTCAATGCTTACACTGATGTAATCCCACCGCTCACCTTAAGGTATAAATAAAGACCCGCTAAGACACTCAGCAGGAGATACTTGCATGAAATAAGGTGTTTGTGTCTACCTCACTTCTACCTCACTCCACTTCCCCTCAGCCCTCTGAGAAAGAGAAAAAACTTTCACTGACTCTGTCCTCTCCTTTCTGAGATCTCTGACAGGACTTCTAGCTGGAACTGGTCTCCAGCAAAAAGGACTAAAAATTATAAAGAAAATGTAAAGTATGTATGTAATTTGCAACTGACATGATGACATGATGTTGCAGGGTCGCCCTGGTGGTACAGGGGTTAAAGTCTCAGCACTATCAAGCTGTTGCCAGCCACTGTGACTTTAACTTGATCCCCTGCCAGGGAGGTGATCCACATGGTGCAGCAGACCTCTCCTGTTTCCCCACTGCTCCCTCAGCAGTGTATTTCTGTAGATCTGCCTGTTCTGCTCCCCATGCTGTCTCTGGTGAATCCTGTTACCTCCCCAGCACGTGTGGCCTACACCCTAGTTCTTGTATTCATAAATAATAAAAATACTTTTTTTAAAAAAGAATATCCTTAGGCAAAGAACATTAGTAGAATTAATAGATAAGCTTACCAAATTAAGAGGCACCAAGTAAACTGTATTTCAATGTAGTGGCAATATAAAAATTTGAAAAATGGATAATTCTAAATTCTACATTTAATCGCATCAAATAAAATATTTGACATCCATTTAAGGAAAGTGTATAAGATTTTCACATTGAAATCTACATAGCACTAGAGAAAGTGAAGGAAAAGTAAATGATGAGAAAGGCCATATTCAAGGACTGGAATACTCCATATAGTTAAGGCATCAGTTCTTCCAAATATGATCTTTAGATTAAAAGCAATTCAATCCTGAAATCTAAATGCCTGTCAAAAGCATTGCAGTTGTTTATAAAAGACATTAAGCAACTTTTTCCACAATTTTTATACAAATGCAAAGGACCTCCAAGAGTCAAAATACTTTTATCACAAAGAAGAATCTTGGAGGAGACACAGCACCTGATTTCAAGACTTAGTATAAAGCTCAGCTGTTGAAAATCAAGTGGTATTGGCACAGGGATGGTCCAGGCCAGTGGAGCAGAATAAAGAGTTGGGGTGAGAACATGCTGATATGTTTGCGAGAAAGGCAGTGAAGGCAGTTCAGTGCAGATAAGATGTGGGTAACAATTGATAGAGGAAAGGGTGACACCGTTGCCACACACTAACTGACATGAACAGAGACCTAAAGAGAAAAGCTAAACTGTACTACCCAATATAAGTTCAATTTGAACCACAAATTTGAACCACAGATAAGTTTACATTCTTTATAGCTGCACTTAAGAAAAAAGGGGTGAAAATAATATGGATATTTTATAAGACTCCAAAGATGCCAAATACTCTACATAAAGACATAGAACTCATGGGCTTAACAGACATCTATAGGACACTGCACCCCAAAAAATCCAAGTACACGTTTTTCTCAAGCGAGCATGGATTGTTCTCCAGAATGGATCACATACTGGGCCACAAGACAAACATCAACAGATACATGAAGATCAAAATCATTCCAACTATCTTCTCTGATCATAAAGGCATCAAACTAGAAATAAATCATGAAAAGAAAACAAGGAGCAGTCCTTACAGCAGCTCTCAGCCCACGTGTACCCACTTTCGCATGCCCACACCCCACTCCAGGTGCTGGCCATCAGGCATGCATTCAGGACCACAGGGATCCATTATCAATCCTAATGGTGGGAGGGCAGAAAAGCCTGACACTTTCTCATTTACCCCACACAGGCTTCTCTTTGCAAATAACATGAAAAACTACCACTTGTATAGTTCAATTTATTATTAAAGTTGTAAAAAAGTTGAATACTCACAATCATCCTGAAAGATTATAAAATGCTATTCCTACATATTTCTTTTTTTTTTTTTTTTTTAAATTTTTTTTTTTTTTAAATAGAGGCATGTTTTATTTATTTATTTGTTTGTTTTGTTTATACAAGCACTGGGTACAGTCAGAAGCGCGGGAGGGTGAGAGAATTCACCAGAGCCAGAGCGGGGAGCAGAGCAGGCAGAAGGACCGAGGGACACTGCTGAGGGGAGCAGTGGGCGGCAGGAGAGGTCTGCGCGCCATGTGGGACCCTCCTCCAGTGGCCGGGGAGCAGCCGGGGATCGAACCGGCGCCGCAGAGGCCGCGGGCAGCTTCGCAGCCCAGCGCTCAACCGCTGCGCCACCTGGGAGGCCCTCCTACATATTTCTTTAAGGCTGTGTATTTTTCATTTGCTGTAGTGCCAGGAAGGCACCGAGCAGGTTTTCTGTGATAGGGGAGGATGGGGAAAGAAAGGAGTCCTGGAGCCCTAGGTGGCTCTTCAAGCTTTTATTGAGCTTTTTACTGGAGTGCGGTGGGGGGGGGGAGGGGGGCAGGGGCTGGCAGGCCTCCTAGTCCCCAAGCGAGTCTTCACTCTTTCTGGCCTCTCTGAAGTTCTCTGGTGGTCTCCACTGCACTCTACTGCAAGGCCTTCTCCCCTCCTGCCTCTGCTCTGTCTGCTGCTGGTGGTGTCCCTGTGAGGCCGCCCTTACAGGCCCAGTCTTTCAGCCCAGGTGCGCCCACTCACGCATGCCCACAGCATGTCCAGGCGCCGCCCTCAGGCATGGTGTAAGACCGCAGGTGTTTATCATGGATGCCAGTGGCGGGAGGAGAAAAAAACCTGATCGCTTCCATTTACCCTGCAGGGTTCTTTGACTTTTAAGACTGTGCGTGCAGAGATCCTGAAACGAAAGTGTTTGAGACTCAGTGACCCAGAACCAGGGACTGAAAAAGTCTTGGTGCAGAAGAGGAGGAGGGGGCGGAGCAAAGTCTGGTCCGGGTTCCCAGGGCCCTGTCTGGGAGCCGGAAGATTACTGTCGGGGATTCCCCACCTCCCCAGAGTTTCACTTCTCTCTCTCTCACAACCTGTGTCGGGTCCTATTTCCTGGATACTGGTGACTCACCCCAGTTCTCTCTCCCCATTGCCTGGAGGTCTCCAGAGCAGCCAATCAGCAGCCCCGCGGCTCCGGTTCCCAGTCTGCACCCACCCGCCGCGACTCAGAGCATTTCAGGCCGGGTAGAGCATTTCAGGCCGGGTAGAGCATTTCAGGCCGGGTAGGTGAGGGCATGGGCCCCCCGCCCCTCCTCCTGCTGCTCTTGGGGCCCCTTTGCCTGACGGAGACCTGGGCAGGTGAGTTTAGGTCGGAAGGAAACCCGCCGCTAAGGGGGGTGGGGTGGGGAGGGGACCCCGGTGACGGCAGCGGCTGCGCTGGACCCGGTAAAGGCTTTTTCCGCCATCGCCGGCCCCGGTGTCCCCTTCAACCCCGCCCTGGCCCCTTTCTCTCCCTCCCAGCCCCCTCCTCCTCCTGCCCCCTGATTCCGGCCCTCCTTGTCCCACCGCCCTTAATCTCGGGAGCCCCCTCGCCCCCTCCCCTCCCGCCCCGTCTCCCCAACCCGGGTCTCCCTCCCGCCCCCAGGCTCCCACTCCCTGAGGATTTTCTCCACCGCGATGTCCCGGCCCGGCCTCGGGGAGCCCCTCTTCATCTCGGTGGGCTACGTGGACGACACGCAGTTCGTGCGGTTCGACAGCGACTCCCCGGGCCAGAGGATGGAGCCGCGGGCGCCCTGGGCGGAGCGGGAGGGGCCGGGGTACTGGGAGGAGGAGACTCGGACTTCGAGAGGCAACGTGCAGACGTTCCGCCTGAACCTGAACAACCTGCGCCGCTACTACAACCAGAGCGCGGCCGGTGAGCGGGGCGAGCCCGGGGCGCTCACGACCCCACCCCCGCGGGCGGGCGGGGACCCCAGACCCCGGGCCCGAGCGTCCCCCGAGGCAGGGGGACCCGCCGGACCCTCGACCCGGGACGAGCCCCGGGACGTTCCCCGCGGGGTTCCCGCGTCAGTTTCGGTTTATTCCCCGGGGGCGGGCGGGGTGACCGCGGGGTGACGGGGCGGGGACAGGCTCTCACACCATCCAGAGGATGTCTGGCTGCGACGTGGGGTCCGATGGGCGCCTCCTCCGCGGGTACTATCAGTTCGCCTACGATGGCGCCGATTACCTGGCCCTGAACGGGGACCTGCGCTCCTGGACCGCGGCGGACACGGCCGCTCATAAATCCCGGAGCAAGTTGGAGGCGGCAGGAGAGGCGGATCACCTGAGGAACTACCTGGAGGGGGAGTGCGTGGAGTGGCTGCTTAGACACCTGGAGATCGGGAAGGAGACGCTGCAGCGCTCAGGTAAGAGGGGCCAGGCAAGGCCTCCAAGGCTTCAGCTCTCCCTCAGGCTGACACCACAGGGGAAATGGAGTAATGGTCAGAACACAAACCTCTTTCTGGTCAGAGAGGGAGGAGACCTGGGTATCCTGTCTGTGCTAGAGAGAGACTCGCCACAGGGCCCTGCTTTTTCTGAAGGACAGTTAAGGTATCCAGTCTCACCTGAGCTGGAAGGGATGGACCATCCCTGAAATCACCCTTCATTGTCTCCTTTTGATCTGGCAGCCGTCTTGGGAACCTTCAGTTTCTCACTATGACTTGTTTGTGTTCTGATTAACATTTTCCAGATCTGACTCCTGCTTTTTTGTGTCCTGAGGTCAGGAACATAAGTCTGTGCTTTCCTCCTTAGACACCTGCATCTTCCTATCCTGAGCTCTTACCCTGATTCTAGAACATTTTAAGAAACAGATTAACCCAGACTCCCCAGATCAGGCCGGTTTATAGGTTTTGTGCTTCCTCTCCCAAACCCATTTCCCTGTCCATTCTGAGGATGGTCACATGAGGCTGCTTCAGTCTCCATGAGGGAAAAATCCAAAGTGTGAACGTTCTGACCCTTCTCCTCAGATCCCCCAAAGACACACGTGACCCACCATCCCACCTCTGAACGTGAGGTCATCCTGAGGTGCTGGGCCCTGGGCTTCTACCCTGCGGACATCACCCTGACCTGGCAGCGAGATGGGGAGGACCTGACACAGGACACAGAGCTGGTGGAGACCAGGCCTGGGGGAGATGGAACCTTCCAGAAGTGGGCAGCTGTGGTGGTGCCTTCTGGAGAAGAGCAGAGATACACGTGCCATGTGCAGCATGTGGGACTGCAGAAGGCCCGAGTCCTGACTTGGGGTAAGGAGGGAACGTGGGCAGAGAGGAATCAGGAGCCCTTCTGGAAAACCTCAATTGGCTCAAGATGGAGGCCTGGGGCTCACGGTCTCACCTTCTCTTCCCTTCCAGTGCACCCTCCTCAGTTCTCCATCCCCACCGTGGGCATCATTGCTGCCCTGGTTCTCCTTGGATCTGTGCTCAGTGGAGCTGTGGTGGCTGCAGCTGTGATGTGGAGGAGGAAGTACTCAGGTAAGGAAGGGAGTAGGGGATCTTGTCCACTGGGGCTTTCAAATCCCAGGGAGAACTTGCTCTACCAGGTAATGGGAAGTACCACCCACACACCTGTGTTGCCCATTCTGGAGCTGATTGCTAATTCTCTTTTGTAAACCACTTATGAAAATGAATCGCAGGTTGTTCACCTTGATAATTCTGGTGATGGGACCCTGATTCCAGCAAATGGCAGAGGGGAAAGTTCCCTGCTGAGGGCAGCCCCAAGAGGCAGTTGGTCCAATGCCCTCTCATCTCCTTTCTTCATATTTCCCAGTCCTGCCCTAAGGTGTCCAGTCACAGTTCTGGAACTTCCCTGTGGTCCAGAACTAGGGGATTCCTATAGGACTTCATAGGCTGACTCCTCCCTGGTCTGACAGGATGTCTTTTCTCACAGGTGGAAAAGGAGGAAGCTACACTCAGGCTGCAGGTAAGTGTGGATCAGGGGTTTGGTCCTTGAGCCCCTGGGAACAGTGTAGAAGGATCCCATGGGGGAATCACCCTCATCAGTCCTTCTGTGGTCTCATCTCTCATGGGTCTGACAGGTTCTGTTTTGTTCTCCCCCAGGCAGTGACAGTAGCCAGGGCTCTGATGTGTCTCTCACAGCTGCTAAAGGTGAGACCCCTGCGGTGGGAGGGGCTGGGCAGAGAGGGTGGGACCAGGTTATGGGGAAACTGTGAGGGGGACATTCTGAGGATGCAGTGGACTATTAAGAATTTTACACATGATTCCCTGACTTTATACCTGATTATTTTCCTTCACAGTGTGAGACAACTGCCTTGTGGAAACAGTGATGCAAGGTTTTTTCTCTCCCCCACAGTGGTCTTTGGCTGCAAAGGGCATCCTCATGTGTCTGTGTTCCTATTAGCGTAATGTGAGGTGTAGAAAGACTGGCCCAGCCCTGCCCACCAGGCCCCTCCCCACAGTGACCTGGTCCTCACCCTTTGTACTCTGTCTATATATTATTTTGGTTTTTATTTTTATGCCTGTTCATTTGCAAATGTACAGACCAGGTCTCATGTCCTCTGGGTTTCCCTGTCTCTGACGCCAGCAGGAGGCATCTGTCATTGTCCCCACAAGGCCCAGGGAAATCTCTGCACAGGATTGTCTGGTGCTAGAGATTGATTTCCAGACTCATCCAGTTTTTAGTCTCATTTTAGGACTCTGTTCTGGATGATTACTTCCATTTTTTTCCCACATCTGTTATAAAGAACTAAATTCTAGTTTCAGGTGGATTAGGTAATGTGCGGCAGGCTGCGCTACCCATGCTGCCTCTTGACAAGGTCCAAGCATTGGGGGAGACTCCCAAAGAAGAGGGGAGTTCCTGCACTTCCCAGAATATCTGAACTAGGGAGTCTCCATGGCAACGCCTGCGAATGCTCTCCTGTTTGTTCTTGGTTAATGCAGAAGTAAGTTATAAATTGGCTTGTGAAAACCTAATTCGGACCTAGACGCTAATTGGTTTATTGTTCTTACCCTTGAATCATTATCAAAGGAAAGCAAAAAATGCTAAAGGTATAGACAGGAGAGAGATGTTTTGGCACTGAGAACTATGCAGAACAAGCTGCCCTGAACCAGCTGTGCTTGGAAACCGTAGCTTAACACAGGAGGTACGTGCTTGTGGCAGCAGTACATTTCCTGGTGTGTGCAAAAGGTCGATAGTTTGCAGGCTGTGTGGAGGTTAGGTATTTCTAGTTAAGAGTTAGACTTCAGTAGAACTAACATAGATTTGAGGAGTTGCTTTAGGCCACTTTGAAGTAATTAATAAATTAGCCAAGTTAATCGAGTGCTAAGGAGATAGATTGATTTCAGTAATAAAATATAGAATAGGACTTTCACGCCCACTCCGAAACTAGGAAAGTTTAATAGAATGATTGTTACCAAATGTTGTGCTGCCTTAAATAATTGATCATGTTAGAAAATGAGCTGTACCTAGGAAACTAATTGTCCCTGATGTTTTTTTAAGGTAACCAAAGAAATACCCTTTTGATATGAGACCAAGGGAGTCTCTATATGTTCATGAGAAAATATGTAATGATTGTCTTTGTTCTGCTTTGATGCTTTCGTTGATGTAATCTCACCACTCACCTTACTGTATAAATAAGACCCTCAGCAGGCGATACTTGCACCAGAGAGAGAGTCTGTGTCTACCTCACTCCACTTCCCCTCAGCCCCCCAAGTTTTCGCCGACATTGTTCTCTCCTTTCTGGGACCCCTGACATGACATTCTGCTGGAGCGGGCTTCCAGCAGTGAAGTTTCATCTTAAATAATGTCTTGGAGGCCTCACTGGTGGCGCAAGGGGTTAAGACACGGCGCAAGGGTTTAAGACACAGCGCAAGGGGTTAAGACACTGCGCAAGTACAGTTCCCAGCCAGGGAGCTACCCACATGGCACGGCAGACCTCTCCTGTCTTGCCCACTGCTCCCCTCAGCATTGAATTTCAGCCAGTCTGCATGTTCCCCACTCTGGTGAATCCTCTCACCCCCAACACCTCTGACTTGTACCCCAGTTCTTGTATGCATAAATACATCTTAAAAAAATTAAAGAAATATGGGCCTCCCTGGTGGCAAAAGGGGTTAATTAAGACTTCAACCCATGAAACTATCTGAAGTCTCTGCAGCACCAGTATGATCCTTGGCCTGTGAGCTGACCCAGGTGCAGCAGATCTCTCCTGGACTAGCTAGCTGCTCCCCTCAGCAGTGTATTTCAATCAGTCTGCCTGCTCTGTTCCTTTCTCTGTCTCTGGTGAATCCTCTCACCCCCACACCTCTGGCCCCACACCCCCACACCTACCCCAGTTCTTAAATAAAATTTACAAAAAATTAATGTCCTGGTTGGTTTCTGTTTCCTCTACAGCTTCTCCTGCTAACCCTACTTTTAAGTACTCTACCCTGAGTGTGTGGGGACAGGGAGGATGGCTGCTTCCTAGCGTGGTCAGTGTGGGCCTCACTTAGGTGACCTTTAAGAAAAAGTTTGATGGACACACAAGGAAGCCAAGGGAAATTCTGTCCAGGCAGGACAACCTTCGGTGTAGATGCCTGAGGCAGGAATCTGTGTGGCTCAGATAACAGCTGCAGGATCAGTGGGTGATTAGATGAGATCTGTGTGCCTCCAGATCATTCAGGCCTTGAGGATGTTGGGTTTGACTTTCTGAGTAAGGTGTGGGGTGACAAGACCCCCTGAACAGATATTTATCTGTGTGACTTCTCTTTAGGAGCCTCCGTCTGGCTGCTGTGCAGCATTGAGGGGTGGGAAGATAAATGCAGGAAAACAGTGCAGGTTCCAGGACCTAGAAGTTAGTTGCTTCATTGGCAGAGGGGGCGGTGAATAGAAAAATAATAGAAAGTGATGGGATCTGTGTGTATTAAGACATGAACATTGCAGCATTTCCTACTGCTGGTTGAGAAAGGGGTCAAGGATGACAGTGTGTCAGACTGTGCAGGCAGTGGTGGAGCCTGCCTACATGGGGAACCGTATATAGGAAAATCTATTTTTTTTCGATTTAGGAAAGTTGAAGCTGATATCTGTTTACAATGAAAGTGATATTGGCAATTGGACAGACAAGTCTGGAGTAAAGATGAAATAGATATCTGAGTTAAATAATAAACATGGACTTACAGCATTGGGAGGTGATGGGATGAATGGTGATTGAAGTCTTGAGCTCAGAAGTGTCCCCAGGTAGTGATAACTAAGGAAAAGAAAGAAGAGGGACTGAACCCCAGACCCCCCTGTGATGAGGAATCTGAGCAGACACCCCATAGAGCCTACTGCACTGACACCATGTAGAGAAGAAGACCAGGGAGCCTCCACTTCAGTGAGCAAGCGAGTCACCTAAATTCTAGAAAGTCTAGAACAGAGTCTGAGATTCTATTATTGGACTCCTTTCTTTACCCTAGAGTTGGAGAATTTAGAGCTGATTCCCAGGAGAAGACGTTATTATCCCTGGAAGCTGGAACAGATAATAAGGACTCTGGAGTGCAAAGTTTCATCCAAACTGAGGGAAACTATACTTGGGGAACTCGCTCAGCAATCTGGGAACAACTGTTATTACCTGAGGACCTGGCTCTTCCTGAGGCCTGTGTCCATAGTCACTCGCTAGGGAGGAAGCTTGAAGACCGCTAACCTGACAGTGCACCTGTCCTGCCGCTGGGAGTCCAGAGGGCCTGGGGAGGGCCTGGCTGAGCAGGAGAAAGGGCAGCTCTGGTCTCCTGTGCTCAGCCTTGTGGCCACACGGGGGCGCTGCCGCGCTGTTTCGGATTCTGGTGGCGCCACCAGGACGGGGCGGGGTCTGAGGTGGGGAGAGGTGGGGTCCTGGAGGGAGGCGTCTGGGGGCTGTCAGGAGTCAGAGAAGCAGGGCTCAGAGGAGAGGAGACTCCGGAGCCTGCCCTGGGTGTGAGGTTTCCAGCTTTTCCCCACGACTCTCTCTCCTGTCCCTTTATAGCAAAACCTGGGAAAATTGGAGAGTAGATCATTTTTTCCTTCCACAACCTGTAACTCTGTTAACAGTATTTTTTTTAAGAATTATTTATTTATTTATACAAGCAGTGGGTACAGTCATTTTCTTATTGTTGAGCTGTAAGTGTTCATTTATAAATAATAAATACAAGTCCTTCATCAGATACATGATTTCATTTACAAATCCTTTCTTCCACTCTGTGTCCTAAAACTCTTTTACTTGTAAGAGAATACACACTTATGTCTAGATACAAGCATACATATATTTTTTTCTGGGAAGGGGAATAATAAATTTCTAACTGGTTTTGGGTAGGTCACCTGGCTCACTGGAGGGCTATGGTGTGTGCATGTGTGGGTTTATGTAAATTCTTGAATATAACAACTTGTAAAACCCTTCACAGATTATGTCCCAATCATGCTAAGCCCAGAGCGGCACGTCTGCCACATGATGAACCTGCTCATCATCATCTCTCACGGCCTGTGGCTGTACATTGGGGTCCTTCTTGGCGGTGTTCATGCTGTGGGTTTTAGACAAATGCACAATGACGTGGACACCATATTGTGTCCTACAGAGTGGATACACTGCCCTTGATATCTCCTATTTTCCAAGGAAATAGAAGCAAAGATAGACCAATGGGGACACATCAAACTAATAAGCTCCTGCACAGTGAAGGAAACTGTCATTAAATGTAAACATACCATATTGAGTGGAAGAAAATATTTGCAAATCATGCATCCAAGTTACATAAATAACACACATAACTCAACAACCAGCACACGATTAACCCAATCAAAACATGGAAAGAAGAGCTAAGTTAAAACTTCTGCAAAGAAGATACAGATAGTCTCTGGAATTCTGTATGTGAATTATATGTAACCTATTCTGTGGCACTGTTTTGGTTAACTCTGGGCTTAATTGTAGGTCCAAAACACACCATGTTCTCCAGGCCTTTCCACCATTTCATTGCTATGAGCAGTGTAACATATTTGAAATGGAGAAGACACAGATGGCCACAGACACATGGAAAATGCTCCCTTCACACGTCATCAGGGGATGCAGATCAGAAGCACAAAGAGATACCACCTCACACCTGTGAGCTGGCTCACATTAAAAAGACCAGAAATAACAAGTGTTGGCAAAGGTGTGGGGAATAGGAACCCTCATACACTGGTGGGAATTGGTACAGTCCTATGGAGAACAGTACGATGTTTCCTCAAAATATTAAAAATAGAGCTGCCAGAAGACCCAGCTTTCCACTCCTTGGTATTTATCCAAATAATGTAAACACTAATTTGAAGGGATAGATGTGCTCTTCTGTTCATTACAACAATGTCTACAGTAGCCAGATTGGAAACAACCAATGTGCTTAACAACAGATGAGTGTGCAACAGGGAGGTCCCAGGAGAAGGGGATGGTCCCGGTTCCTTGCCCACCAAGGGAGGGAGGAGCTGAGCAGGGAGGAGAAGAAACTGGAAAGAACATGTGGTATAACATACTTGATGGATTACTACTCAGCTGGAAAATAAAAGATGAAATCTTGAATTTACAACAATGTGGATGGAACTGGGGGGAAAAAATCATACTAAGTGAAATCAGACGGACAACAACAAATACCAGATGATTTCATTGATGTGTGTAATATGAAGAAACAATGCACAGGAGGAGATAAACCAAACCCTTGGAGTCTGGCTGCAGAACTGAGGCTACCAGACAGGGGTGAGACTGGGCAGTAAAAGGAGTAAGAAGGTCCAGAGGTCTAGGCATGAAAACTTCAGTACCTTGAAGGTGGAGTGAGGTAACACCTGAAGAGGTGTGAACCTGTCCCTCTGAATCATATAGAGTGTGTAAATGAATCTTACTTCAAAAAATACAATAATAGGGCCTCCCCGGTGGCGCAGCGGTTGAGCGTTGGGTTGCGAAGCTGCCCGCAGCCTCTGCAGCGCCGGTTCGATCCCCGGCTGCTCCCCGGCCACTGGAGGAGGGTCCCGCATGGCGCGCAGACCTCTCCTGCCGCCCGCTGCTCCCCTCAGCAGTGTACTTTGGTCCTTCTGCCTGCTCTGCTCCCCGCTCTGGCTCTGGTGAATTCTCTCACCCTCCCACACTTCTGACTATACCCAGTGCATGTATAAATAAATATAAATCTTTAAAAAAAAAAGTATGTTTTAAAAAAATACAATAATAAAAAAATGAAACTCAAGAGAAAAACTTGTCTCCTCCATCCATCACTCCCCTCAGGACTTCGCCTTTGCCTCCTCACTGTCATGCAGGGTGAGGGGCTGGTTTCCCACAAGGGCAGAGGCAGGAGGTGCAGGGACTCCTGGGGCTGCTCAGACACCCCTGAGTAGAGACACTGCAGAGAGGGCAGCTCTGTGGGGACCAGAGACAGAGGGTCAGAGTAACCCCCAGTGCTGAGTGAGGGTCTGGTTCACAAGGAGAGGGGAGTGTGTGTGTGTGTGTGTGTGTGTGTGTGTGTGTGTGTGTGTGTCACAGGAGAGACAGGCACACCATATAAGACAGTGGAAGGAGAATGACACATCAAGCAGATTTGGAGCAGGACTTGAGGCAGCAGAGGATCTGGAGACTTGGAGGGGGGTTGGGGATTCTTCCCATGGTTAGATGTAAGGAGCCTGGGTGGGACCCTGCTGGGCTGTGGGGGCAGCCCCCCCCCAGCTCCGGACAGCTCCTTCTCTCCTCCTTTAATGCTCACTCCAGGCTCATCTCCTTTAGAGTCAGGGAGCTCCAGCCTGGCAGCCCCTCTGTTTCCCAGGGGGTCACTGCCTCTGTGGGCTGCAGCTACTCTCTCTCTAGACCAGAGCTGGATGGAGTCACACAGTGGGGGGGAGGAGTGTGTGTCCTGCTGGCCTGGCCCAGGGGCAGGATTAGCCCAGGTCACCCCAGTTCCTGAGCTGAGCCTTTGTCCACAGTCCAGGAAGGGAGGGAGAGATGGAGTAGGGTCAGCCTCAGCTCCTGGAGGGAGGTGTAATGTTAGAGTGGATGAAATTAGTTTTTCATTTCTGGATTTCCCTCATCTTCCCTAGGTAATCCTCCAAGTGCATTAGCGAGAAAATCTCAGGTAAACCCACCTCTCTCCCTTCCTTCTTCAGCAATGATGTGTTCAGATGAATGACCTGGAACTGATGGTCCACACTGAATGAAATATAGAAAAAGAAGTTGGATTATGGTATTAGCTTCTGGGATTTGAGGTAAGATTTTCCTTTTTACTGTAAAATTTATTTTGTTCTTGTTGCGGCTATAATGATGTGCAAACTGAAAACAAGACTGGGGCAGGAGAAAGTGTTGAATTGAGTTTTCAGAGTGCAAATAAAAAATGGAACAAGAACCCAAGAATG